TGCTGCTGTTAAATTAGATCAACCTGATTATTTTCAAAATGAACAAAATGGTGATGACTTGGAAAGTAAGCTCTTGAAAACTCAAGGTGTCAAAGGTAAATGTTTTGTCATATGTTTCAGTCCAAAGCATCATTTAACTTTACCTTTAATGAGTGTTCAAGAAATTGTTGGTGTTGTTAATGCTTGGGAAAAATTATATTCTGATTTAAAACAAGATGTATTAGAAAATGGTGCACCATATAAATATGTTCAAATTTTTGAAAATAAAGGTAGTGCTATGGGTTGTTCGAATCCTCATCCTCATGGTCAAGCATGGGCTTTAGATACAATTCCAACTGAAGTTGATCATTTATTTAAAAACTTATTGAAATATTATAAACAAAATGGATCTCATTTATTAGATGATTATGTTAAATTAGAACAAAGAAAGCAGGAAAGAATAGTTCTTGAAAATGAAACATTTATTGTTGTTGTTCCATATTGGGCTTTATGGCCATTTGAAACTTTATTAATTGCTAAACCTCATTTAAAATCTGTTCAAGATTTTAATGAAGATCAAAAATTAGATTTAGCCAATATTTTGAAAAAATTAACAACAAAATATGATAATTTATTTAATACAAGTTTCCCATATTCTATGGGACTTCATCAACAACCTTTTGTTGCATCTGATGAAATTAAAGAAATTTCTTGGTTTCATATGCATTTTTATCCTCCATTATTAAGATCTGCTACAGTTAAGAAATTCTGTGTTGGTTTTGAAATGTTGGGTGAATCTCAAAGAGATCTAACTAGTGAACAAGCTGCAGCTAGATTACAAGACTTGGATGGGAATGTACATTATCTTGAAAATTTAAGTTAATATATTAGATATATGTTCATATATAGATCAATTCATTTTGTAGATATATCTAAACAGACCCTATGAAGATGAGTTTTTAGACCTCCATAACTCTTTGTGTTGTTCAAGTTGATTTTCGAAATCTTGTTGATCAACTCCAGATTGCCATTTATATCCATAAGCACTATGATCTTTTGGTACAAATGTTTGACCTTTGACACCATAGAGGTTTTCTCTAAATGTACCTCCTTTAACAGGATAATCATCCCAAGCAAGACCTCTGAACCTTAATTCAGGAATTAAAAGATCAACAATATCTTCAAAAGTTCCAGGCCAAAGAGAATAGGCAAAATTGAAACCATCAATTCCAGAGATATCAACCCATTTTTCAATTTCATCTGCAACTTCTTTTGGAGTTCCAATAATTAATGGATGTGATCCAGTAACTAATCTTTTGGAAACTATATCTTGTTTAGTTACTTTCCCAGGTACATCAGAAACTAATCTTTTCAATGAAGATCTTTCAGAATCAAGTGATAATTTTTTCAAGTCATCTTCATCATCAAATTCATCAAGATTTATACCAGTCCACCCACCAATAAGTGCTTTTACACCTTCAGGGTCTGCATATTTGAAAAGATCATTATATTTAGCCACAGCTTCTTCATGTGTAGGTGAAACAATAACTTGTAAACCAGCTATAAATTTTATTGAATCTGGATCTCTATTGAATTTTTCATGTGCCAAAGATTTAACAGTATCAATAGTGGATTTAAGACCTTGAGGAGTATTACTTCCAATAAATATAACTTCTGCAATTTGCGCACCTAAATTTTGACCTGGTGGAGAACTTCCAGCTTGAATTATAACAGGTAATCTTTGAGGAGAAGGTTCTGTAATTTGAGGTCCAGATACATTGAAAAATTTACCTTCAAACCCAATTTCTCTAATAAGTTTAGAATCTGCATATTGTTTTCTTTCCAAATTTTTCGTAACAGCATCATCTCTCCAACTTGATAATAATAGTTCATAAACAACTTGAACATATTCATGAGCTCTTTCATATCGTTCTTTATAACCTGGAAGGTCAGAGCCATTAAGTAAATTTCTAGCTGCACTATCAAGGTACGATGTAACAACATTCCAACCAACTCTTCCTTCAGTTAAATGATCTAAAGTAGCTATTCTTCTAGCAAAATGATATGGATGTTCACTTATAGTACTAAAAGTTACACCAAATGCAAGATTTTCAGTTACAGCTGCCATAGCACTAATAACTTGAGATGGTTCATTTGTTGGGAATTGAGCAGCTGCTTTAGCAGCACCTTTTAAAGATCTTGGACCTTGATAAACATCATAACCACCTAAAACATCACCTATGAAAATAGAATTAATTTTACCACGTTCAGCAATTTGAGCTAATTTAGTCCAATACGATATCTTGTTATAATTTGTAGATTCATCTTTTGGATGTGCCCAAATACCCTATGAAATTTTGAGTTAGTTTATTGTAATGGCCTATATGTAATGTATGAATTAATACTCACTGGATTTTGATGATTTGGAGCAGCGTGTTCAAAAAAGTTGATAATTAAAGGTTTTCTTCCTTTAACCTTTTGTTTCTTATATGATTCAGACATTTTTGATCAGTTGGACTTAAGTTTAGTGGAATGATGACCCAGTTTTTGGAATATTCCATTCATTTATACCCAGCTCCACAGTTGTCGATATATACCATTGAGGTATATCAGCCGATATATGACATACTACCGACCCGAAAGAAGTGGAAGGAGCCAACACATTTTCAAATGAGATCTATTGAAGTATCACAATTATTAAGTCAACTTTTCTGTCGAATCATTTGTCATGCGTATGGTAGGAGTTGAGTGTCGAGTTTCGAGCTGCATTTGTAGCTGTTGTATCGCGTTTTTTTTACTATGTGAAAACCCAAAACGCTAACAAATTTTCACTGCTCTATTGAATGAGGTCTATTGACACAAAATGCAGAATTACTGCTAAGTTATAAGATTATTTGCTTCGAAACTTGCCAGAGATTTTCTATAGTACCTAAATATTGTATTCATATCAAATAGCTAGCTTAAAACATTCTTGAGCGTTGTGTTAATATAAGGTGATTTATATTCCATTTCAGCATTTTGATTATAATATAGTAAATTTTAACTACATGTTACAAGGAATAATATTAATGGTAAGCATGCAATATCATTAAAAGAATCCAAAATCAATATTTCTTTCAGTTATAATATCAATCCAAAACTTACCTGTATTCCAACTTTCCAACATCACTTTATGAGCCTCATAACCAAATCTAAATCCTCTTTGACCCAATGCATAAACTCGATCTGCATAGAAGAATCTTGTATCTTCATCAATTGCATCACATCCTGCAGTAATTAGTGCAAATATTGTACAAAATGAAGTATGTGTATCTCTATCAACTTTTGCTCTTAAAATTTCAGTTATATCAAAGATCATATTTTGAACTAATTTAGAATTTCTTGAAATTAATAAAACTCTTCTATAAAGTTGCAATACACCTGCATAAATTAATGCTTTATTAACAGCTCTCATTGTTTCATATTCTTTTAATTTAATTAATTTTGCCGGGTCTTGTCTTATGATAACTTGTTGTACAACTTTTGTTCTTTCATTTTCAAAAATTTCAAGACATTTTAATAAATCATCTTTAACTTCTAATGCTCTTTCAATTATTGATGGTTCATTTGAATTTTTTGATAAATCTTGATCTTTTTCTTTATAATAACATTCACGTTCTTTAATCAATGATAAAATTTTGGAAAGATGACTTAATAATCTTAAATCCAAACCAGAAAGTTGATCAATGTCTCTTAATTCTAGAATATCCTTTTCACTAACATCTTGAGCCTCCCATAATAATTGATTATCTTGTTCAATAGGAGTTGAAAATTTTAATGATGAAGATAATGAACCAATAACATCAATATAAGCAAACCAACGAGAAAGGAAAAACACAATATCATTTTCATCACCAGAACGTCCTAATGTAACAATTTTTCTTTTTTGAGTGTTTTCATTGTGGATTTCATTATTAGTTTTTATGAGTCCTCTTGCAAGTATAATGTTTTTAGCACCATTATGATGAGCTCTCCAATCTTTACGTTCACTAAATATAGATCCAAAACATGCAAACATCATAACCAAAGCTAATGTATAATCTGAATTTGCTTCATTAACATCTGTAAGACGATTATATAAATCATTTAAAGATTTCTTTAATAACATATTAACTATACCTTTGGGATGTTGTTCACCACGATAAACACAACTTTGCATTATTCCAGTAGCAACTAATAGGGCAAGCATACCATCTGTATATGATGATATAGCCATTTGAGGAAGAATTTTTTTAATTGGATTATTTTCATAAATTACAGGTGGTGCAACAACAATTGTAACTGATACAATTTCCACAAATATATGGAAATTTTCTCTAAAATATGGTGCTTTTAAAAGCATATCAGGTAATGGAAGAAATGAATATGGAATAAATTCAAATCCTGTTAATAAATCTTCTTCTTTTTCTGTTGATGCAATATTATAATCAATTAAACTTGAATTGGAAGAAGAGGTCTGTGATATATTTGAAAACATATTTCTAGATATTAAACTTTCTTCATCGATTAAATTTTCATGATTTTGTTCTAATTCTTGAATTCTTGGATTTAATTCATTTAAATAACTTGAAGATTGATAATTATTTGTAAATAGATTTAAATCTGGTAATATGAAATCATTTAAGAATTCTTTTGCTGTAACATTTGTAGTTTCCATCTCTTCAAATATTTTAGAATTTTCGAAATTTAAAGTATTAATAGCTCCACAAGAACTTTGTAAATCAGATAAGTCAGGATTTAAATCAAATTGATTTTCAATATGAATATGATCATGATCAAATATTTGATCTAAAGGGTTACCATTTGTAATACTATCCTGGGTAATTGGGTTTAATATTTCATTATTATTTGGGACTTCTGGTATTAAATTAGCTGAGCTTGAATTATCTGAAAAATCAGATGTTATTTGACCATAATTATTATCATTCTTTTTCCCCAATTTCCCATTTTTTAAATCCAATGAGACTGTATCTGGTTTCTTAAAAGTATCAATAGTAGCGAATCCATACACATTATCTCTCTTCTTTTTATATGGTCTACCACCCCAAATAAGATGAACTGAATAATCGCACTTTTTTCTTGAGTTTTGACATAAAGTACATGAAGGTTTTATTTCATCACATTTAACTTTCGAACGTTTACAATTATGACAGCCAGATCTTGTTCTTGTTCTTTTAACCTTGGCTTCTTCTTTACGTCCTGCAACTGGTGACTTTTTATTTAAAACCATTCTTGTTAAATTTACAACTTTCAAAATTCAATGTAAAAATTTAGCTTCAAGATTCTAATTTGGCAAATCAATGCTTAGAAATTTTAAGATATGAACTATTGATTAATCAATTTTTCACAAAGTATTTTAAAAGTTTTGGTATTATGTGCAATATGAATTGATTAATTAGGAAGGTGGTTGCGTGTTGCCCGAGCAACTAATTATTGGACTTGAGTTGATTACTCATACATATAAAGTATAATAAACTTTTATACAATGATTGAAAGTAAGGAAATTTATAACCATTTTCCAAAGTGACTTAACAAAATTATCACACTCATCAATATTTCATTAGTTGTTCCCGGGCGAATTGTAATTTGTAATGATCATTGATTGTGACGTTGATACATTTGATCCCTTAACTTCCCGATCCAACTTTTTTTTGTATGATTACTCATAAAAATATCAAAATACTATATAAATCATCAACTTTCAATGGATTTTATTGAACTTGAAAACACAATGATGGTTAAGTAAGAAAAACTAGAATGGATCCTTTTACAATGGAATCTGAGAAACGTTTTAGATTACAACTATTGCTAAGAGATATACGCCAAAGTTCAAATGGTCTTAAAATTGTTTTAGCTGGATTCTTATCAAACTTTATAGTATTTGGTATTGCATTCTCTTTTGGTGTTTTCCAAGAATATTATACTACAAAAAATGGCCCTTTATCAAATTATGATGATTCTGCAGTTGCAATGATTGGTACTGCTGCTTCGTCATTGACATATATGGGTGGTATTTTCAATAAGACATTACTTTTTTATTTCACAACAAGAACTGTTATGGTTTCAGGTGGTATAATGATGGGATTAGGTTTAATATTGGGTGGATTTTGTCATTCAATGTATCAATTTGTACTGTCACAAGGGGTCCTGTATGGTATAGGATCAAGTTTCCTATATATGCCACCTGTTGTTTGTGCTCCAATGTTTTTCAATAAAAATAGAGCTATTGCAATGGGAGTTCTTTTCAGTGGTTCCGGGTTTGGTGGGTTAGCTATGGCAACTTTATCAAGATATCTTATAACAAAATTCGGTTGGCAATGGTGTTTAAGAATAGAAGGTTTCATGTCATTGGGGGTTTGTTTAATTGCAGCTTTCTTGGTTGAAATACCTCAAAATGTTAGTAATCAATTTCAATTTAATAGTAGAAAAATTTTAACTTTATCACAATTAAAATCATGGAAAGTTTGGATGCAATTAGCAGCTTCTTTATTACAATCTGCAGGATATTTAATTCCATTAATTTTCATGTCAAAATATGGTAAAACATTGGGTTTTACTGATAATCAAGGTGCTATATTTATTGGATTGAATAATGTAATTAATGCTATATTTAAAATAATTTTAGGTTTTGTTGCAGATAAAGTTGGTCGTCTTAATATGATTGTTTTTTGCAGTGTTGTTAGTACAATCACTATACTTACATTATGGTTAATAGCCTCTAGAGAAACATTTATTTCATTTGTTATTTTATATGGTGTATTCTCTGGTGCTATAATTTCTTTATTACCAACATGTCTTGTGGAATTATTTGGTGCAGAGAATTATCAATCAATGAGTGGATTAATGTATTTTAGTAGAGGTGTGGGTACATTGTTAGGTTCACCATTAGCTGGATTATTGATTAAAAATTCAGGATTAATGAGTAAAGATTATAAAAGATCAATAATTTATAATGGTGTTTTATTATTTACAAGTACTCTCTGTTTAGTGGTTCTCAAGTTTCAAGATAAAATAAGAAACTTGAATTAATACATATATTAGTCTTAACGACGTAAAGCTTTATTTAAATCCCAATAATATTTAGCCATCCAAGATCTTACACCAATTGGTTCTTCTATAGATATGGATTCTAAAACTGGATTATATCTTGATCCAAACTTGATAAATTTTTCATCTGAAGATAAATTTAAACCAGATTCAAATTTAAATTCTTGTGCATTTGATTGTATTGATTCAAAATTTTTCAAATTTGGTGCAGATTTTATATTTAAATCTTTCATCAAATTATATGAAAGATCCAAGCAAATTAATGAATCAAGATCTTGTGTATAAAGTGATTCAACTCTATTTGCTGATAAATGTTGTAATTTTGGATTATTGGGTAAAATTAATTCTTCCATATCTAAATTTTCCAATTTCATTTCAACTAAATTTTCAGCATTTATCATAATAGATGATGGTGTTTCAAACATTGAACCTATAGCGAAAAATGATTTTAATTTAGGGAAATCACAATTAATAAATTCTAAAAGATCACCTTCCATATTTATTTCAAAAGATATGAGATTTGGAAATGTAATGTCTTTAACTTTTAATGGTAATTGTACCATTTCCAAGATCAATTCTTCCAATTGTGGATAATCAATGGGTATATTATTTAAAGTGTTTAAGCCAGGACTATCTGCAATGTTCAATTGTTTTAAATTTGGTGCATTAATCAATGGTATCTTATCATAATTAAAATCTAAAGATAAATCTGCATATTCAAGTTGAGGAAATTCCATTGAATTTATTGCTAAATCATTAGGTTGTATTAAATCTAAACCTAAAAATTTTAAACATTCCAAATTAATCTTGGATAAAATTTGTGAAACATGGTTTTTTATGATTAAATTAGGTATATTTGTTAAAAAATTAAAATCTGCATCTTCTCTAAAGATTTCTATATCAAAATAAATTAATTGTAAACTTAAACATTGAAATTTTTGAATTAAAGGCATGACACTAGTTGTTATCTCAACAACTTCAAGATTATTAGATATAACATTATTCAAAATAATTTGTCCAGAAGTGCATTTAATTGATAATTTTAACAAATTTGGTAATGTAACATTTTCTAAAATAACCCCATTTTGTACACCAATATTTAATTCTTTTAAATTTGGAAAAACACAGTTATCTATAGTTATTATATCATTTAATTGAAACCCTTCAATACTTGGATCACTAGTTATTAATATAAATCTTAAATTTGTGAAAATTAAATTGGTAAACCTTAAATGACCAATATTAGTTAAATATAATCTAATTGGATATAAATTATAATCAATTGATTTATGTAAAGATTCTGCAAAATTTGGTCCAGTTATTGATAAATCTTTAAGTTTATTCCATTTAAATTTAATTGATTCATTTGAACTTTTACAATTTGTTATTATTGTGGATTCAAGATTTGGTAAATGAATTGAAGGATCAATATTAATATTTTCTATAACAATCTTGGTTAGATTTATAAACGATAAATATTTGATAGCACTTGAATTTTTAGATGCTTCATTGATTAATTGGTTGAATAATACCAGATCATCACCTCGCTTATATTGAAATTCAAATGGACTTAAATGTAACCATTTTATTGGATCATTAATGATACAAAATTTAGGTACTTGATCTTTTATTTGGGAGAATTTCTTATTAAAATCTGTAAAGTTATTAACCTCGAAAAATTCAAGTAGACCTGCACAATTGATATTTGAATCTTTATTAATTATTATTTTAGATTCAATTGGGATATTGGGAAAATTTATTGAATTTTCATCATCAATTGTTAAACTAATAAATTGTTGAAATCTATTTCTTATTGAAGCAAATTCATAAAGATTATTGATATCTGAAGGATCTAAATGACACAATATTTTCACTATTATCTCATCAGGTAGGTCCAAAAATGGCATATTGACTAGCAAAAACTATTCATTTGGTGGTGAGTTGATGTTTTGTGTTTTAATGTTGAGTATAAAAGATTATGAAAGTAATGGTGTACTGTTTTTTTTTTCACGTATATAGATTTCCGCGAAATCCCAATAATTTTGGATTCTTTATAATAAACTGAACAATTCATGTTGGAAGTTTATGATTTGTAGAGTGTAATTTTGGAAATTTTTGACTCTTGAATTGACTTTTCTGGTATTGAATTTGTATAGAAATTGTATTTTTCAATATGAAATTTGGACTTTAGGACTTTGATTTGTGTAGAAATCCGCGGGTCGGAAACAATAATCATTAATAGCATCTTTGATATAGCTTTTAAGTACATGAATAGTGTGTTATCAATGGTGAAAAATCAATAGAATTGCTATTTATACTTCTTTTCTTAAGATTAGGACATAATTAATTGAAAATTTGAAGATTTTCAATGTATTTCATTTTGAAATATTATTTAAATTCTTAACATCCACTTTTCTTAACATCCACTTTTTTGCTGAAAAATATAGTTAAAATCAAAATTTTAAAAATTATGCTTCAAATCATTTTGAATTACCACCAGTAGATAAAGAGAATTTCATGAATGACTATAGTATCATTTTTATCCCAGGTTATCAATTTTTTGCTGTCTTTAAAGACAATTTTAAATTTCTAGATTATGTAATCAGCTGTTAAATATATCCATTTAATATATATTACTTTATATAATTAACAGCTTCATAATTGTAAGAAGATTGTCAGTACCAAAAGAGAATATTATATCATATTAATGAGTATATATATGGATAAGTGAGGTGCATATATACTTGATTAGTAGGTATGATATGTAGGAGGAAAAGAGATCGATAGTACTTAATAATCTCACAATATAACCAAGAATTCATACCAGACAGGCATATAAATCAAAAGCATTTGATAAATGAAAGTCCACGAGTTATATACTGAAAACTATGATATAAGTATATTAAAAGTAAATGACACAAAGTTCTCGTAGTGTAATTGAAGAAATATATAATTTAGTTAGTTTAATTGATTATATAATTCCTTAGTGATATTAGTGATTTGAAAATTTCAACATTAGTACCGATCAAATTGGAAATGACATATATTTGATTTAATCAATAAAGATGATTGACAAATTATTACACGGTGAATATACTATACAGACTCATTTGATTTGATTATTTGCAATGTACCAACTTTTCATCACATTGACATTTCAAACAACATTTTAATACAATAAATCACAAGATGGTATTTAATAATGGTTGTATTATCAGTCCAATTGGATGTCACGGATCACACAGATTAATATGCTCATCTCAAGCCAAGAATCTTCCAATTAGATTGTCGATGGTTTAGAACGGGATGCTTTTTAAAGTTCAACGGTTCATCTATTATATCTGCAAGATCTTGATAAAATATTTTAAAGGAAACGAGCAAATAAAAAAACAAGAGCAAATTTTAATCGATATACATATATAATGATGAAGATTTACCAGATTTATAGATCACAGAATGTCTTTCAAATCCATCACATTATGACTGTCACTGATTGTTTAGCAGATCAAGATAATCAATTATATAAAGATTTAACGGAAATTTCACAATCTGGTAAGAATTCTTGGGAATATCAAGGAAATTATGGTCATTATGTTGTTTATTTTGGTATTGTTTTAGTTTTTATTACATTTTTGAAAAATATTTATTTTAAATATAATGATTATAGTTATAGGAAATCAAAAATTGGGTTTAAATTTTATAAGTTATCAATTATGAATAAAATTATTGGGATCTCAAGATATATATCTTATAAAAAATTACCTTTAATCATTTCACGTATAACTGGATTACCTTCATCATTTGGAACATTATTTATTATACTATCATCAACTTTATTTATTTTTTGTTATTGTTTTATTCCAAAAATTTGGTTAAGACCATGCAGTGGATTTGGTTCACCACCATTAGCTGTTCGTGCTGGTTTAATGTGTATGGGATTAACTCCATATCTTTATTTATTATCTGGTAAAACAAATTTTATTAGTGGTATAACTGGTATAAGTTATGAAAAATTAAATATTTTCCATCAAAGTCTTGGTTGGGGAAGTTTATTCCTTGGATTAGTTCATACAATCCCATTCTTGATTCAACCTGTTGCAGAAGGTGGTTATTCAAATTTAAATAAAACATTTAAAAGTGATATGATTTATACTAATGGTGTACTTGCCATAGTTGCATTGGGGGGTTTATGTTTATTATCAACAAGATTTTCAAGAAAGTTATGTTATGAGGTATTTTTCCATTCTCATTGGGTTTTAGGTTTAGTTTATTTTGCAGCTTTAACATGGCATATTTTCGGTTTATTAAAAGCTGATAATTATATGTGGGCAACTTTAGGTTTTTGGGGTTTCAAATGATTTATCGTGCAATTGTTAAAACAACTTTTAAACCAAATATTTATTCATTTAAATCAAAATTAGCCTTCTTAACTTTGCATGAAGATTCTGAAATTTTTGAAGTTATTATTCCAATTTCAAATCCTTATGAATTTAATTGGAAACCAGGTCAACATATATTTATTAGATTTGTTTTAGGAATTTCCACTTTAGATAATCATCCTTTCTCAATAATGTCAATTCCATCATCATTTAAAAATTCAGAAATTAAATTAATTGTTAAACCACATAAAGGTTTAACTGGAAAAATTTATAATTTACTCAATACTAAAGGTAATCAAACTTTGAAAACATATATTGATGGTCCATATGGTGGAATGAATAGAGATGTATTATCATTTGATCAAGTATCATTATTAGCAACAGGATCAGGAATCACAGTTACTTGGTCATTTTTAGAGTATATTGTTAAAAATTTAGATATTGGATCTAATCCTATAACAGAAGTGAAATTTGTTTGGATTATAAGATCAATTGACTGTCTTGATTGGATTTCTAAAGAATTGGTTATTAGTTTAAATAAAATTATTGAAAAGCAAGGTAATCTAGATGGGTTTTCATTTGATATTTATGTTTCAAATTCAAATGTGATAACTCCAAAACAATCTGATGATGAATCAATACCAGAAAAATCAAAGTTATATGATATTGTTGATATTGGAAACTATCAGAAATATTTAAATATTCATTATAATGTTAAACCTCAAATGACAAATTATTTACAATCTTTACCAATTTCAAAAGGTAAAAATTGCTTTATATATATATTGCTGTAGACTTGTTTATTGCTGTAGACTTGTTTTTGTCTTTAGTGTCTAGCCTTGTTCTGGGGTACAGCTCGTCTGGGTGCATGGACGCTGGGTGGACTAACACTGCTCTCTGGGCAGAGTAACACTGGACGCTGGGAGGACTAACACTGGCGGTGGTTTCGCGAACTCTGCCTGTGGGCCTACCGACTCTGGGCTGGCTATTTTAACACTGGGGTGTGGTTCTAACCGAGTGCCTGGGTACGTTCTGGCTTGTAACTCAGCATACAACTACTCAACTGGCCGATGCCAATGAGATATGTTATCCTTGTGAATATTGCCATCTCTGGGTATAGTTTTGGTGAATTTTGAGATTTTTAGTTTTTTTTTGTTTTCGAATAAATATGAATGTAGTAATTTTTATTTTCACTTTATAAATGGAAAACTATAATTTTCCCAAATTTTTGAATCTTTCAGAATACAATATAACTAGGTTTAGTGCGGTCTATAGATGCTATATACCTTATGCA